ACCAGTCTTTTCTCTTCCCCAGCTAGACCTGATGGTTCATACTCATGGTTTTCCTGGTCTGTGCTGGTAACCTCAATCCGTGAATAGAAGATGTTCAATTCGTTGGCTAGGGAGGCACTGCCATTATTAATGGTGAGGGGCTTGGGTTTGTAGTCTATAACAGGTTGCATACTCTGCCACAAACACCTGGAATCTGCCTGCTCACACTAGGTCTCAATCTTGTTCCTATATTTCCTTTTGGCTTCCCTCACCGTTTTCCTCAGGTTGTAGGAAGCCGCTTTGTATTCGTCCATGTTGCCAGTCTGCAGCCCTGCAATGTAGGCAGCTGTACGCGCGTTCAGAGCTTTCCGCTCAAATCGGTCTACCCATAGCTTCTGATTGGGAAAAACCTTTACAGAGCGTGTGGGAATAGTCTCTCCTATCAGAAACTCTGTATAACCAAACACCGCTGCTGTAAACTCGCTGATGTCATCAGAGCTGCGCCAGAACATCTCCCAGTCTGCGTCCTCCAGTGTGTCTTGTACTGTGGCTTGTGATTGGTCAGCCCAGCGCTGCACCTCCTGCGTCACCGGATCTTCCCTCCGCAGCCTTTGTTTATATTTTGGGAGTAGCAGAATGGCGGCATGGTCTGACTTACCAAGTGGCAGTGTTTTTATTGCCTTATAGCAGTCTCTGTGTTGTGTGGAACAGTGATCCAGCGTCCTTTCACCCCATATACTGCAGGTTATGTGCTGATAGAAATCCGGCATGACTTTTTTCAAGTTAGCCTTGTTAAAGTCACCAGTAATCACCAGAGCTGCGTCCAGGTGCAGTGTTTGTAGTAGTCCAATATGGACTGGGCATTAGCAAACAATATGCTGGGCATTGGTGTGGAGTCTGCTCTGGCTCGTACCTGGTTCCTCACACCAGCTCTTTTCCCTCCTCGTCGTCGCTGCCATCTCAGGAGAGTAAGTCCATTGTTTACCTGGCTCAGACTGATCTCCGGAGGCCAGTCGGCATCGGGATGAAAACGGGAATTAGAGTGGTGATTGAAGTCTATACCAATGTTGATTAAAGTTTGGCGGTCGTATGTTATATGTCCATGGGCTAACTCAATGATAGTGCAAAAAACAAGATAAAAACACAAAAGCTGCAGTGTGGGTTGCGAACACTAACGTAGACAGCCTTCCTTAGCGGCGCTATCTTGGATTAGATGGGTATGCAGTACGCCATCTTGGATTAGATGGGTATGCAGTTCCCGGTATGCAGTGGTTAGTACCTACCAACAGTAGTTCAAGGATGGACAACTGGTGAACCGGCACCAGGGTCATGGGCACCCATGGTTCATTGTTGAGCATGGGGAGCGAAGGCTAGCCCGTCTGGTCCGATCCCACAGAAGAGCTACTGTAGCACAAATTGAAAAAGTTAATGATGGCTATGACAGAAACGTGTCAGAACACACAGTGCATTGCAGCTTGCTGTGTGTGGGGCTGCATAGCCACAGACCAGTCAAAGTGCCCATGCTGACATTTACGGCATTTGGCAGATGCCCTTGTCCAGAGCAACTTTTTATTTATCTCATTTTATATAGCTGAGCAGTTGAGGGTTAAGGGTTGGGATTTGAACTCAAAACTTTCTGAGTAGTAGTCCAATGTATTACCACTGAGCTACCACTGCCCTTCATTGTTTATTGCAAATAGGTGGCACAAAAGTGTATCGTTCTTCTACATAATTTCCATTTCATTCAAGGCAAGTGTTCCAGCTCTTAGGTTTCCTCTAGAAAAAAAATTATTCCGGTTCCTGTCTTGTTTTTTTTTTTTTTTTAACTTTTAAAGTTTTCATCTGACTCACTCTCCTATATAACAATATTCAACAATAAATACATCAAAGGTTTGTTTAACAAATAATTCAGAATATAAATCTCTGCTACGGAATAACTGGGTCTTAATCCACCTTCAATATTAAAGGACATTAAAATTGCCTGGTGTGAACAGACGTTTCTGAAGAAGGATTCAGTGATCCTGCTTCCTCTTGGCTGACAGACTCTAACTGACAAGTACTAGTCCTTGTTTGGCCTTGAGTCTGTATGGTGGAGTCTGATTGCTTGACAACTTGCCTGTAAATGTCATTCTTCCAGATTTTCTGGGTAGTACGGCAAAAGTTAGCAATGACTGGTATAATTTCATTAGCAGCCCAGTGGTGGTGAGTCAAGGCATCTTCCATTTTAAAAGGACCATCCCGTGTGCGACGCACCTTAGTGCAGACTGCATTAGTATGTCGTTCCAACCCCACCTCACGCACCAGTTTCCGAAGGAACCGCTGAGTTTCATTCACACACTGAACCTCCAGTGTGAACTGAGGTGGTTTAAAGCGGAGTAATCGTAAGCCAGTTAAAATGGGAGGACTTTTATCCTGTGGACGAAACATCCCCTTCACTGCCAGCTCATAAGCCTCCTGAGTGCTCAGGGCCACCTGAGAGTATGTTATTAAAGCTTTTTGATTGACTCCCTGGATCATGGCCAACATTCTTTCTAGCTTGTCATGTGTAACATGAGCAAATGTGCTTTGCTCTATAACTCATCCAGTGTTGGTGAAATCATCTGTGGCCATTCCAAACTCCCCCTCCAGTGTGTATTCCCTAGTCACATGTGATGTGTACAGACTCTGCAGGGCAGTGTTTCCATTCCCCAGACCCAGACGGATCTTATGAAACCTTGGTCCCGTCACCAGAGGATGATCAGCCAAAGCAGGCAAGCTGAAACTGGACCATACAGCGGGGGTGGTGGGGGGGCGTTGGTTGTGTCAGTTTGCAGGACAAGAATTAACCACTTTCAGAAGGTTTGTCTCTTCCGTGTCCTGGACAAGTTTCCAAACAACTCCTTGAGGTTTGTATACAGCGAACAGACTGAAAAAGCGTGCAGCTGGCATAGCTATTGCACCTGCTGTTTTTATGACATTAACTATTCTTTGTTTACCAACTGAACGAAGTAAAACTAGAACCTCAAATCGTTTAAAACACACGCTGCTGACCCCTGCCTACCGCCGAAAGAGCCTACAATGGGCATGTAAGCATCAGATCTGGACCATGGAGCAATGGAAGAAGGTGGCCTAGTCTGATGAATCACGTTTTCTTTTACATCATGTGGATTTTACTTTGACACGTACCACCTACCTAAACGTTGTTGCAGACCAAGTACACCCTTCATGGCAACGGTATTCCCTAATGGGTCAGAGCTGTATACACAATATTAGGCAGGTGGTTTTAATGTTATGGCTGATCAGTCTATAATGGTTCTTGAGAAAGAACTCTTCCAGTTGCTTAGCCACAATGCTGAAGGGAATCTTTACTTTCCAAGCAAGGAAATTAAACCGATTGATGTCCTTGGAGTTCTCCTCTTTTGGGATCCATACCCCTTTGGCAAACCACCACTGCTGTGCTACTCTGCCTCTATGTCCAAAGCCAGTATAGTAGCCAAAGGCAATTTGTGTAGACCTTGTAGGAGGTTTTCCACTTGGACCTGAAATCAGTTGGATCTAGATTTCCTTACCACCTTCTGGATTTCTTTTAAGAGCAGCACTCTTGGGTCAAAGCCTCCACTGGCTCTGATGTTTTGATCATTATCTTGCACTCCCCTAGGTTTTGGTGTCTGGTAGGGTCACTAAACATATTCTAGGGGTGATGTTCAATTTCACTCTTTTGCACAGGCCAGGCATCCACTGTGTTTCTGCCTGAACAGTGGCCTGGTGAACCCAAATGGGTTGTTGATAAAGATTGATCACTTCCTAGCCCTTTCTCTCCTCCGCCTGCAATGTTGCTCTGCTCTGCAGAGAGTTAGGAGCCTCTTCCTCTGTATTACATTAGGCTCTACAGGTGGCATCTTCCTCTTTTCCCTGGCATCCTTGTATTGCTTCCTTAAGGCTATAAGCTCCTTCCTGATCTTCTCTGCTCTCCGATTCTTAGTGTAAGGTTGCTTGGTTATTCTTACCTCCTCTTAGCATCCGTGTTTTCTATGATGGTTGTCGTGCCTATGGTGCTTGCAGTCTGTCTTTGTATCTCATGTTCAAGTGGTGTATCTTGAGAACACAAACACTTGATATTCATTTGTCCGTTGCCATAAGTCATTGCCATTGAAGCTGTCCAGCTCAGTTGCTCTTCCTCCCCGGCCCCCTTGAGCTCCCCTGGGGGTATCCTTTCTCTGTCTTGTCTGTCATTTGGGTCCTTAAAATATAAATAAAATGCATTTAACATAAGGAAAATATTAGGGGAGATATCGAGGTCAACTGAATTTGGTAACACAACAGAACACTATTCCCAAAAATAATTTGAGTAGATGAAACTTAAAATGTAATTTTGGCTTAGTCTCCATTCACTAACATGGGAAGGGGCGGGGTTAAAAACTGTACTACAGCCAGCCTCAGAGAGATAGCTTTGGCTTCACTTTTAAACCCTTGTTACTACATCCATCCCAATGACTGTGTACTCACTGACTGTGAGTTCAGTTGACCTTGATATCTCCCCTAATATTTTTCCTTATGATAAATACATTTTATAGGAGTTATTTGGTGATAAATAAAAGGGCATGTTGATGAGGTGATTGACACATTTGGAGCCTCATGGACGCACATGCACGGAACTAAGGCTCTCGACGCTTCTGTGGCAAAGCCATGTCATGTTTTGTTGCAAACTGTTCTAACAGACCTTCAGCAGGGAGGTCTTTGCAATTTTTCTGGTATGTTGTTCATTTGATGTCTAAGCTAGCTCATTGTGCTGATATTATAACTAGCAAACCAACATGAGTAAATGAAGTGAAGGCATAAACCAAGGCAGCTAATAGTAGGTCAATTTGTTGTTGTTCTTTCTGCTGCTCCTGTTAAGGGTTGCCACAGCAGATCAATGGTATGCATGTTTGATGTGGCACAGATGCCAGATGCCCTTCCTTACACATCACTCCCATTTTATCTGGGCTTGGGACCAGCACTGGGAGTGCACTGTCTTGTGCAACTCCAGTGGCTGGGGTTGGTTCCCTGACCAGGAATTGAACCCAGGCCACAGCAGTGAGAGCACAGGATCCTTAGCCACTAGATAACCAGGGACCCTCTAAGTTGGTATGGTTAGCCAGTCACTCGTTTTTTAACAATCTGCACAACGACCTGCAAGCGGAACATGAAAAGAGCATTTAACTTACTGCAAGTGTCAGAGCTAGATGAAAATCATGGAGACCAATTTTTTTTTCTCCCCCCAAAAAATTTTTGTGTTGAGTGTAATGCTGCCTTCACATGCTATCGGAATGATCATAAATATGAGTTTCGTAAATCATAAATACTAGGAAGCTACACATGAATGACTCCTCAAGTCATAATTACGACTGGGAAACTCGGATTTAATTTTGATACCCAAGTGTCCGAGATGGGAGGAGTCCTAAACTTTCAACATGGTGGAGGAGAGTACACTTTCTGTACTGAATAACAGGTTTTGTTCATTTTTCTAAATGCAGCTAATTGTTAGCACTTGCCGTTTTCGTCAGATTCATTTATGTACTATATCAGCATCCATTCTATGTACGTTGTACATTTTAACACCATGAAAATATCTTGTATTTGACCAAAACTCCATCGTCAGGAAGCTAGCTAATTGAGTAATGTGTGTTTATGGTGTCAAAATAAAAGTGAAAGAAAAAAGAAAAAAAAATTGCCTATGTATGAATGAACCTGTCGTTGTCCATATTTCATGTTCTTTCCTACAACAAAGCTTGTGAACACGACATACTCGTAATTACCACTTCAGAAGTGGAAAGTAGGAGAATTCCCGTAACACACGAAGGCAGCATAAATGCAGATCAATGGTATGCATGTTTGATGTGGCACAGATGCCAGATGCCCTTCCTTACACATCACTCCCATTTTATCTGGGCTTGGGACCAGCACTGGGAGTGCACTGTCTTGTACATGCTGTTTATCAGAATATTTTCAATTGGTACCTTGCATTAGCTACTTATACTTACATTACATCGATTAAAATGATGGATAATATTAGCTCGCTAGCAAAAGCTCAGTCATGACTCAGAGCTCTAAAATCTTTTCCTGACGACAGTATAAACACTATACCTGCAAAAAAAAAAAGACATTAAAGTTTAGCATTCTATAACGCTGTCTCACTTCGAGTTAGCCGAAGCGCCATTTATTATTTTCCATAAATCATCGTGAACACGTGCGTAAGGTTGTGTGGGCGGGGCGAAAGGCAGACCGGCTGTATCTACTGCGCATGCTCTGGCTCTAACTTGTGCAAAAATGGCGACTCCAATTTCGACATCAAAAAGGCTTCAAAACGCACAATGGGAGTGAATGGCGCCATATTATCCACTCACATATACAGTCATTGGTTCACTCATATATACAGTCACAGGTACATTCAAAGTGACGGGCAAACAGGGGAACTGAATTAACTGGCACACCGGAAATGAGAGACGGGTGCTATTGCGCATGCGCGTCTCATTCTCGACCGGGAGCGCGTTTCTCGTTAGGAGGGAATGGCATGCAGCTGTTTGTAAGCGCGCGTGCACCTGCGGTTTGCGTTTAATTCAACGGAAAGTGGTTTTGAGATGTTCTCGAAAAGAGGTTATTGATCTTTTTTTTGTATCCCTTTTAGAGGACTGTAGACTAACTAACCCAAGCTATAAGTTTACATTAGATTTAAAAAAAACAATTCTTTGGCCATGATGGCCACATTATGGGGGTTAATGGTGACTGTGCTGCTGATGTGTGAAGTCCAGAGTTTTTATAAACAAACTGAAAGCAATGATACCATCATATGTACAGCCAAAAACATGTTCACGCAGATTTCCAAAGATTTCACTCAGCCAGTGCCAACGTATATTTATGTCCAAGGTAGGTTTTGGGTCTGAGATTAGTAGAAATTTATAAATAAACAAACAAACAAATAAAGAAATAAAAGCAGTGTATTGATCTAAATGCACATTATTTAAATGGCTGTGCAGATGAGCATGGTCAGTACCGTAATGCTAGGAAGATCGCAGGGAGGTGCTCATATGGCATAACAGAGACACCAGACTTTATCATCATCTGTGTTTCACACAGCAGCTGTCACGTTCAGAAAACGGTAAGTCTAAGAGCTTTTACAGCTTCTGAGTCGACACACGCGTATTGTTATCTAGCCTAAACGATGCAATGTGCAGTGTGTAGATAGCAGTTATTTTCCCTCCATAGCCCATGTGTATGTCCCAGCATTCTGCAGCAGGTTTCACTGGTCACAGTGCTGTGGTATTCAGGAGGCTCTTTCACTCAGCAGGTCACTGGGTTCAGCTCACCAGAAAGAGCCACACTGACAATCTCCCTCTAAACAAGACCAAGTTTACATTATTTTGACAAATGAATGTTGTTCTTTGAATTACGGTGGCGCATTGCTGCCACATACATATTATTTTTTCCCACTCAATTATGTCATACTAACGAGATATTATGTCGTTAAAACGATATGTTTTCTCATAAGAACAAGATATTATGTCGCAAAAGCAACATATGTTTCCCGTAAAAATAAGATGTCGTTAAAATGAGAGATTTTCTCTTAGTAACGAGATATTATGTTGTAAAAACATATTTTTCCTGTAAAAATGAGATACTATGTCATTAAAACGATGTTTTCTCATAATAACAAGATATTATGTCGTAAAAACATTTTTCCTGTAAAAATGAGATACTATCTTGTTAAAACGATATATTTTCTCATAATAATGAGATATTATGGTGTAAAAACAACATTTTTCTGGTAAAAATGAGATGTTATGTCGTTAAAACGATATATTTTCTCATAATAACGAGATATGTTGTAAAAACATATTTTCCCATAAAAATGAGATACCTTGTCGTTAAAACGATGTGTTTTCTCATAATAACGACATATTATGTCGTAAAAACATATTTTTCCTGTAAAAATGAGATAGTATGTTGTTAAAACGACATATTTTGTATGTGACAATGTATTTCCCACTTTTTGTTTCATTCATCGCCACTTAGTCAACCATATATGGAACGGAGCAGATACTGTTATGGAACAGAAGCCACAAAGACATTTTATTAGCATTAAGCCATGTGGATAGGATTATTATTATTAGTATGCAGATACTGTGTTGGCATCTTAAACATCTGAGACTGTACAGACGAAAGAATCAAACGGGCCTATTGGAAGTGGCATTATTCCTTGTGGATGAATTAGACCATTATTTAGCTTCCCATAACGGTATTTCGTTATTATGAGAAACAACATAAGTATTTTTATTAATTTAACGACATATCTTGTTGTTATGACATAACTGAGTGGAAATAATATGTATGTGGCAGCAATGTGCCACCATATTGCCTGACTATACCTGAAACTGTTCCATTACATCTTACTGTACCATCTAATTAACTAAATGTTTCTATGCATTGCATTTTATACAGTATTTAAATAGCTGTAAAACTATAAACGCTCTACAGTTGTGCATCAGTACATACTGTAAACATCTATGCACTGATATTGTTAAGAAGATTTACTTCCATTTATGCAGATAACTCCCCTAATACATTTGATTACACACAGTACATCTTCAATAAGAAGCATAAGTGGATCTTCTATCAGACTGCCAAACACACCTCTCTTACCATTCACGTTAAGGAACAGCTTAGCTGCTGTTTCTGTGGAAGCATTTTGAAGAAATTACGCAGGATTGAAGACACTGCCTACATCTACAAAAAGATAGATGGATAGATAGATAGATAGATAGATAGATAAGGCTCTTGTATCAGGGGTGTAGCCAGACCTTTTACAAAGAGGTGACCAGATTACACCCAGTGACTTTATTAGGGTGGCAATCTAGGGTGATCCCTATCAGACAGGCAGTCAGATATGTAACAGGATCAAACATTTTTAACAGTGTCACCAAAAACAAGCAAATTCAGATAAGGTACTGGTGAGTTATAATAAGAAGATTTGTAATTTTTTTTTTTTGGCCAGTAATCTTTTACATACACTTGAAAGGCAGAAAGGAACATGGTTTTTCTTAAACTTTGGAAGTGTGGGTAAGTTTTTTTTTTTTTTTTTTTTTTTTGCTTTTTAAATAAAACAAAATAAACAAGAATTCAATTTCAATATCTTTTGAAAGAGCGTACCTAGCAAACATAAACAAATCTGGAATTTTATGTATTCATGTAAGTCTCTCCAAAAAGTCGGACTAAGGAAACATTTAAAAAATAATAATGTTCTGATGCCTCAATATCAGCTAGGCAAAAACATTTATTATGGTCAAACCAGATCATAATCTGTGGAATTCACAGAAAGGATCTGTCCTGTTTTATAGGATTTATAGTTTTATAGTGTTTAAAGAGTGGACATCCTTTACCTTAGGTGGAACAGGAAATTTGTGATAATCTGTACGAATGTTTAATTTCATGATCCAAGTAAATGGAGAAAATGGAATTTCTATTAACTTGCAGATAAGCTTATTAGACAATGTAACTACAATTATAAGCAGACTATTATATTATTTCCAGTTATAGTTAAGTTTATAACAGCTTCTCATAAGTTAAAAAACTATCGTTGTTAGGGTGTGTGTTGTAGCCCATATTCCTTTGTCCATTCAATACTGGCAGTAGAATGATATGTTTCTGAACTGTATAATTTCGTTGTATACAGAGATATACAATGACAATAAAGGCTTTCATTTCATTTCATTTCTATTGTTCCATATAGGGTAAACCGTGTATATGACGAAACAAGATAGCTAGCTGTGTAGCAAAGCTCATGTATATTGGCTAACTTTGGTTGAAGCATTATCACATATACTCTCTTCAGAGTCTGTGGCACTAGTCAAAATTGGGGCACCACTACAAAACAACTACTTCAAATTGTCTTATTTAAAGTAAGCATGGTTAGTTATATTATGTGTGATAGTCTTCCAAGACTTGTGAAAATAGCTTGAATTAGAGTGCGCACGCACACACACACACACACACACACACACACACACACACTCTGAAGAACTGAGCCTTTCTTTATGACTTGCAGGTCCATGGTGGAAAAGTTACATTCTGGGTGAATA